GCTAGATTTATCTTAGAGGTTTGAGGTTAGAGACTTAGAGCTTAGAGGTTTGATTTAGAAAACCCGTTAGATTTATGACCCTTGACTGGGAACTATGCAGTTGTAACTAAGTGCACGGTTCCCTAGCAGTGATTTCGGGGCTCAACGACCCCGCGGCCCGGTCCTCAACCAGGCCTACCTCCTGGTCTGGCGCTCGGGATTCGTAATCCTAGCGTCCGGGTTCGATCCTCTAGTGAGGGCAGAAACAAATGGCCAGAGTTTCTTTCACCCTGATGCTCCTGTTACCTAGCAGTAAATAGGTACCTGGGAGTTAGACAGCTGTCACGGGTTGCTTCCTGGGTGTGTGTGTGTGGAAAAAAAATTGATTGACAGTTGAGAGGCGGGTCCAAAGAGCCAGAGCCCAACGCACGCACAACTAGGTGAACATTCAGGTGTGAGAAGAATTGAAGAAAGGTAAGAATAATGGGAACGAACAGAAGAATAGGAAGAGCGAAAGACAAGGAAAATAGACCAATTTCTAACAAAATCACTAAATATCCACACAAAGGAACCGAGTAAATGAGAAAACGCAGTTTCTATCGTTCATTTATCACTCAGTTACGATAACTAGAGGTATGAGAGAGAGAGAGAGAGAGAGAGAGAGAGAGAGAGAGAGAGAGAGAGAGAGAGAGAGAGTTACAGAATGAAAGCGAAACAGAATGAAAGAGAGAGAGAGACGGAGAAAATGAGACAGAGCGAGGGACAGAAAGAGAGGTAGGGGAGAGAGAGAACGAAGAGGGGAGCAAATGGGTTAGGGGGATAATTGGGAGTGGGGGGGGGGAGTTAATGGGGGAGGGTTGGGGCGGCTCCCAGGACCCCCCTTAAACCATCAAAGTGTGACCAAGGGGGTAACCTGAACCCTGAACCAAACCCGATGTTGTTCCAGCGGTTCTTAGTGAACCCACGGGGTTCATGTTCTACGGGTCTCTCGTTGCTTGTTCTTGCTGTGTTCTTTAATTACGGGTTTCTTGTTGTGCTTGTTCTTGCTCTATGTATGTTCTTCCCCTTTGCTCTGTTCTTGTCAGCGAAGCTGTCTTTGTTATCAGTGTATTTGTTGTTGAAAGTGGATGTATCGTTCTATCCCCGAGCTCTGAGACCCCCGACGACACTCCCTTGTAATTGCCTCGTTAACTGCCCTGGGGAACCACTACCGTACTCTCCTAACTGTGGGATCATCCAATGGCTGGTTGGCTGCCTGGTTCCTGATTGTCGGAGTTCCCTGTCGACCTCACGCACGGCACAATTCAGTCGTGTTATAACACACGGTTGGTGCACAAAAGGTTCGGTATTAGATTACTGACATTCGTGTTGAAATGTGTAATAGATTACACGCATTCGTGATCTCCCTCTGATGCCACTGTTCGTTTGTATATATATATATATATATATATATATATATATATATATATATATATATATATATATATATATATATATATATATATATATATAATGTGTGTGTGAGTGTGTGTACTCACCTAGTTGTGTTTGCGGGGGTTGAGCTCTGGCTCTTTGGTCCCGCCTCTCAACCATCAATCAACGTGTGTGGATGTAAGTGTGTGTGTGTAAATCACGAAAATTAACACGTGATGATATATTATGTATATAATATATGTGTGTGTGTGTGTGTGTGTGTGTGTGTGTGTGTGTGTGTGTGTGTGTGTGTGTGTCACACGAAAAATTAGCACGTAATGTTACGTGATAACGTGTAAATATGAACGTAAATGAGACGTGAATCACGTGAGTGTAAAATCTGAGCTCGGCGCTCTAGGAACCAGGCCTGCAGGGTGCTCACAATATGGAAGGAGCTCAAGAGAAGCTAAGTGATACCTACCAGAGACTTTAAACCCTTCCTGGATCCCCCATTGTGGAATTTGGTAGAAATACATCCTATCATCCATGTCACGTATGATGCAATCTACAATACAGTAGGGAAAAAATACATTTCTACAGACGGAGTTTCGAACTCGGGTCTGATAATTGACCGTCGATCTACTAACCAGGCCAGGATACTGAATGATCTCAGAGGAACTTAAGTAGAACATATCTATAACTCGAGACTATCCATGGAGGTTATCTTCTTGAGGTTATCTTGAGATGATTTCGAGGCTTTAATGTCCCCGCGGCCCGGTCCTCGACTAGGCCTCCACCCCCAGGAAGCGGCCTTTGACAGCTGACTAACTCCCAGGTACCTATTTACTGCTAGGTAACAAGGGCATCAGGGTGGGAAAAAAACTCTGCCCATTGTTTCTTACCGTCGCCCGAGATCGAACCCGGGACCACAAGATCACGTGTCCAGTGTTCTGTCCGCTCAGCCACCGGCTCCCTCACATATATTTTGAGCCCATTTCCTCTCAAATTTACAACCACTCAAATCAAATCAAATTTATAATTCACGAACAAAAAAATAACCATCAAATGTGTTTGTAACTATGAATTAAAATTACTTTTAGAATGAGAATATATATATATATATATATATATATATATATATATATATATATATATATATATATATATATATATATATATATATATATATTACAGGTAATACAAGACTTAGCTGTTTTCACAGTCCATGTAACCTGGGTACAGCTTTATGTAAGGTGATATTCTGTAACCTTCTGTACTCTGTAAATATCATAACGTAACAAATATGAACGAGTTCTAATTACCCAACTATATATATTGTCAGGTCATGATTGTACCCTGATTGTCTTCTTCCAGATTGTTGAGCCTGTGTCTCATGGGTTCCTTCCCACAATATGTATCACGTGTCTAAACTTTGTAATTCATATGTATCCCTCTACATAACTCACGTCTGTCAAATTTTCCTCCCACACCCCGTTCCTCCTAGAGGATTAATTCCCACTCAGCATGCAGAGGGCTCACCATAGCCCGTGCTACTTGCCCCGCTCCTGTGCCAGGTAAGTTACGGGCTCACCATAGCCCGTGCTACTTGCCCCGCTCCTGTGCCAAGTAAGTTACGGGCTCACCATAGCCCGTGCTACTTGCCCCGCTCCTGTGCCAGGTAAGTTACGGGCTCACCATAGCCCGTGCTTCTTGCCCCGCTCCTGTGCCAAGTAAGTTACGGGCTCACCATAGCCCGTGCTACTTGCCCCGCTCCTGTGCCAGGTAAGTTACGGGCTCACCATAGCCCGTGCTTCTTGCCCCGCTCCTGTGCCAAGTAAGTTACGGGCTCACCATAGCCCGTGCTTCTTGCCCCGCTCCTGTGCCAAGTAAGTTACGGGCTCACCATAGCCCGTGCTTCTTGCCCCGCTCCTGTGCCAAGTAAGTTACGGGCTCACCATAGCCCGTGCTTCTTGCCCCGCTCCTGTGCCAGGTAAGTTACGGGCTCACCATAGCCCGTGCTACTTGCCCCGCTCCTGTGCCAGGTAAGTTACGGGCTCACCATAGCCCGTGCTACTTGGAACTTGTTCCGAGTAGCTGAATCTATAACAACACTCAGCATGTGTACTCACACCAACTGCTCATTGATGAGTATGTTGTCTCCTCATCTACATACACATACCTCATAATTACATCATACTCCATGTAGTCCCATGATTAATGAGGCTGTGTTTGTCAGCATCTTGCGAGTGTCTAGAAGGAACCAATTATACCATCTTGGTCAGGGAATTTACCCCAGTAATTGTTGGGTAGAATTCAGCAATGTCGGTGGTATACTTTGTCTGTAGCCTCGGTGCATGGGTAACCACTTTATTGTTATTAACTACAGCTACAAGACTTAGTAATCAAGACTGTGTGACCCTTTTAACAGTTAATTATCGCTACAAGTCTTTATTAGCAATTGTACACATATATTTTTTGTAGCTTGTTGAAAACTTCCTGTCATAATATTATTTTTTTGACGTACACAAACTGTGATAATGTTAACTTTATTATATTTATTGCTACGAGAAGCAATAAAAATTTAGGGAACCTTTATTCTCATAAATTATAGTTACAAAACTTGTTCATTTGAATAACTGAATTATCATCAATAATTCGCTAGGAGAATTTTAAAAATAAATTCTATGAATAAATAAATTACAAATAAATTTTAAATAATAAATTCTTTATTATTATAATTAATTTTTGCTACAACACTGTATAAAATATATTCAGGATATTGAATACAAAATAAATAGGAATAGAAATACTAAGCACTGTGAATATTATGATTAATGTAATATTCTTGCATACACAATACATACCATACACACACAAACACATATTATGTATATTAAACCTCATTCAAACACTTATACATGTGGATCATGTATAACCAATATCTTCTTAAGATGTCTGCTAATAATTCCACTTCAAGTTATTTAGAAAGATAACACATAGATCCTTTTAATAATGTTTATGATATCCTGTAGTAAAATTCTTTTGATATCACTCTAGGTTTAAGGGGTAAATTTTTTTTGCTTTTGCTTTTAAGGGGATTATACAAGATGACAGTAATTTCAGAATTTAATTACAACGAAAATACAAATCTTCATCATTCATGGGTTGTATTAACAGGCCATTTTATTTATAATAGCGGACTTAATGCTGGCTTTCTCGACATGTATAAACATCTGACTTTGTCGAACGAGGCGATTGTTAAACACCGCTGTCCGAAACCGATTGGAATTTTGTCATTATCCTTATGACAGGTATATATATATATATATATATATATATATATATATATATATATATATATATATATATATATATATATATATATATATATATATATATATATATATATATATATATATATATATATATATATATATATATATATTAAGTTTAACGCAGAAAATATTTTTAGTGTTAATTTAGAGACAGCTTATGTCTAGCGTGTGATGACCGCTAGGAAGAGGAAGAAAGAGAGATAGAAGAGATAAGAGGAGATAAAGTCAGGCATTAACAGTTAACGGGGAACAAGAGACCTTGCCTCCACTTACCCTGGAACGGATAACCAACGAAACAGGGCTGCATTGTCTGCATCATGGCCGCTCCTGTTACCGTCATTTCCCGTTAACTTAACACAACATTTGGTATCCGGAATGAGGGAGAACACTGGATAATTTTCTATGGGCGAATTCCGCAGCGTTCGGGGCCGGAGTAACGCGGCAATGCGATACGGGAAGTGTTAGGGCGTTAGTCTCTGTTGAAGAAGGCACTTCGCGCGGGGAACTTAGTCCTGGACGGAGATAAAGGGCCACGCTTGGGAGTGGGAGAGTTTCTTTTAAGTGTGTCTCACATAGGCACTGAGACACCGCGTGGTATGTCAACAACCAACACTTCACAACTAATAATCTCGCGTTCTGGCGATCGCTTCCCGCCGGGATACGCCCCCCCTTCGCTTTACAAGACCCACCTCGGTTCCGATTGGTTGGTAGCGATAGGTTCCGCCCACCGGACTGCTCGTCGCGCATGCTGATTGGCTAGTCTGCAGGGAAGGCGGGGCTATGTCGCAGGTCTGGCGCCTTCTACAAATATTATGAGGAGGTGGGCGGGGCGAGGCTGCGCCGTTGTCAGATCTCCTGGATGGTTTAAACTGCTCCATTACGACAGGTCAGGGAACCAGGCCTCCTTAAAGGCACCCAATTGGCCTGTTAGGTACGATCATTGGAGCATTCTCCAGCGAGCATTTCTACCCGGGTGGCGCTATTATCCCAGTGGGACAGTCGTGGGGTCGGCCCCCGACTCACAAATGGGAATTCCGGGTTCGAAGCCCGGCCTAGGACAGAAATGGTTGGATGTGCTGCCTATCACCTAATGCATCTGTTCACCTAGCAGCATATAGGCACCCGGGAGCGCGTCAGCTTGTTGTGGGTTGCATCCTGAGGAGGGTCAGTAATTCGACCCTGGGGGGCCTGACGGGTGAGTGGACAGCGCTCGGGATTCGTAGTAGTAAGGTTCCGGGTTTGATCCCCGGTGGAGGCGGAAAGAAATGGGCAGAGTTTCTTCCACCCTGATGCACCTGTTCACCTAGAAATAGGTACCTGGGAGTTAGCTGCTATGGGCTGCTTTCCGGGGGGTGTGTAACAAAAAGGAGGCCTGGTCGAGGACCGGGCCGCGGGGACGCTAAGCCCCGACAACCTCCCTGGGAAAAAGGGAGCAAGAAGCCTCTCCTTCCTGCCCTTACTCATCCTCCTACACTCCCTCACTCTCCCTTTAGTTATCTTTAGTTATATCTTTAGATGATTTCGGGGCTTTAGTGTCCCCGCGGCCCGGTCCTCGACCAGGCCTCCGCCCCCAGGAAGCAGCCCGTGACAGCTGACTAACACCCAGGTACCTATTTTACTGCTAGGTAACAGGGGCATAGGGTGAAAGAAACTCTGCCCATTGTTTCTCGCCGGCGCCTGGGATCGAACCCAGGACCACAGGATCATAAGTCCAGCGTGCTGTCCGCTCGGCCGACCGGCTCCCTAATCCCTAATCCTCTGGACCACACAGTAGTAAGCAGCCCGATATTATTTATTGGTTTTTGGCCGAAACGGCCCGAGGGAGAAGGCGCTTAAGGGGGGAGACCCGAGCCCACCAGGACTCCTCCTCCTCCTGAAGGAGCTCACTCGGGCAGGTCGAAGAAGCCAGGTGTGTTATCTGAGCTCACGATCGCTAATAACTCACACCTGAAAGCTTGATTGCTATAATTGGCTCACCTCAATGACATCTATTTGAATATCACGTAATCTCTTCAATGGTACACTCTAAGTAATGGCCGCTCCTTAAGGAGTTAAGAGGATAATAGATATTCTTATTATATATATATATACATAATACTTTCCATTACATAGAGATAGACATGTTCATTTCAGATTAATGGTTGCCATATATATATATATATATATATATATATATATATATATATATATATATATATATATATATATATATATATATATATATGACCGAAAGGGTAAGATTAATTATTATTACACGAATCTTCTCAAAATTTCTTGTTCTACTTCACTATCGAGGGAAGTTGAAAAATTAACTTTCCAAAGTTCATTTTCACACTTCATTATGGTCTGACACCTAGGGGATGCGTTTCGCAACGTACTTCTTACATTTTCAAAAACTAATTTACAATGCATTTGCAAAGGCTTATATTCTCTTTGAGTTAATATAGCACCTGTTGGTCACTCTATTATACATTTCAATTTACTATTTCATTTCTCTTCCATCTCCAGTCTTCCGCATTCACGAACTGCTCATTTCTAAAATAAACGTCGTCATTGTATTCCAACACACCGAAGTCTCGACCAAACATGATCTGTTCCGTCAATCCTCATCGGAAGGGTAGAGGGAGAACTGAGAGACTCTCTCTACCCCTCACCGGAAGGGTAGAGAGAGAGTAGAGAGGGTAGAGGGAGAACTGAGAGAAACCCCTCACCCACTCACACGAGTAAGTGAGGGGATTGCGTTCGATGATCATATTATATTTACTTGAAAACTCTCCTAGTGAAATATGTAAATATACAGTTTTCCAGAGTATCCCCTCAAGAGGTAATATTGGCAGGGGATACTATATGAATTACGGAATTATCATAGTGTATATTTTCTCAAAAAAATAGGTGTCACCTTAACTTTTGTTGTGATATATGAGAGGTGTCGGTTGTATATGAATAATACAGTAGTTACATTGCAAGCGAAAGTACTTTGAAGTTAAATTGTTTCTCGTTTTCTTCATGCTCGCTAGCCTCGTTTCTTCTTTAACCTGAGAGAGAGAAAGAGAAAGATAAGCTTTAAATTGGCATTGATTATATCGTTTTACTTTCGTTTACGTTTAATATTTCATTTTCTAACAAACATAAAAAAATGGGGAAAAAAAGTTGTAAATACACCATTCTACTGCGTTGTCGACACAATTTTCACTACGGGCAACACAGACATACAAACCTGTTTCAGACAGTTGTGTGGACTTATGAGCTGCCTGTCTAGTCTTGTTTGAGGCCCGTCTCGACGTGTTTGTTAAGCGTCTGGACGCGTTGAAACATGTACCACACATGTATAATGAACGTCGAGGCGATTGGTCACACTCGCTCACCGTCACTGATTGGTCACCGTTACTGACAGCTGTGGCTCCCTTGCCATCAAGGTACAGCTCCAAATCAAAGACGAATACAAGAGTTGTTTAAGTACCGGGTATCGAACGGCCCATTGGAACACCTCGCCTAAGCCAAGCCTCTCAACACGTGTGTATATTTGCCATGAATTATCACATTCAATCTTATGTTTACATAAGCCCAGACAGTGATATGTATCCATTTGGAAGCTTTATATTTATCGTGGCTGCCACCTGTGGTATACTATTATAAATTGCAATTTAGAGTGCGCCATTACGATATCTGATGGTAATGCCATTCTTCATCCAAGATGTATAAGCTGCAATCCACGATAATGGATAAGGTTGTTTAAGGGTGTTGGGCTGGATTGCACCTGTTATCCCTCCTACTATCCCTCCCTCACCATCCTTCCATCACAGCACTATCACCACAAGAAGAATTATTCAGTCACACTCACCATCAATATCTGATACAGAGATTTTTCTGAACGCATATTAGTGAGACACTCAACTATGTATAGTATTCGTCTATGTATTCTTCTATGTATCCGCAATAACCATGATTTTTGCGATGTAAAAAAAAATAGTGTTTTGATTGTTAAAATTTATATGTCACTAGGCTAACCTGACATGTATTCTAATATGTAGTAATTATACTTGAAAGGTTATATTTCTATGTCTATTAGGTTTTAGGTCTATTAGGTCCATTAGTGACTAGGAAGTCGTGCTATTCTCCACTATATATGAGGTCCTGTTATACGGTATAATTAAAGTCTATAATGATAACGGAATTGAACTTGAAATGGGAGAAACTTACGCCATATAATGGGTACAAACCCTTCGGGGAAAGAGACATAGGGAGAGTCGCTTGGGCTTTAGGGTAGAGCGACAGTCTCGCGTCATGCAGGTCGGTGTTCAATCCCCGACTGTCCAAGTGGTTGGGCACCATTTCTTTTCACCAAGTAGAGAGTAGAGCCCTGTGTTGGCAGGAAAAAGGTTTAGGTTAAACTAAAGAGGCAGAGACAGGCTTCAACAAAGCAATATTAAGGTATACTACATAAATTGTGGTGATAGTAGGATTCTTAGTAACAAAACCGATGATTTAAATGCTCTTGTACTTGAACTCTAATTAATATTTTGACTACTACTACTATAACTACATACATACATACAATATATATTAGTTAGTTATAGTAGTTATACAATAACTACTTATACAATAGTTATACCTACTATAAGTGTGTATAACTACTAAGTTATACTTAGTTATACTACTATAAGTGTATAACTACTTATACAACTAGTAATAACTAGTTATACAATAACTACTTCCTGAACCTGTCCTGGAGCTTAAATGTCGAAGGAAAATGTTAATGTATTCAGAGTAATACAAAAAAAACATTACCCAAATCGTTTTGATGGGCTGATTTAAAGCCTGATGACTACATGTTCCATCTGTTGTCCTTGGTTCAGTCTTTTCTTATTTATATCAAGTGTCTGTCAACGCTTTCTGCTTCGTGGACTTGTCAATTTCCGTCACAGTTTCGCTTTGACGGCGCTGTCATCCTAGCACTCAGGGTGGTAATCTTCTGTCTGACAGGGAATTTGTGGTTCTTTGGTAATTTTTATTCGTGTTATGGGCGGGTCTCGAGCCGGGATCCCTTGGTGTGTGATGTGTGTGTGTGCTATCAGGGGTGTGCTTGTGGGCGTGGCCGGTGTCTGGGACACCCCACACACCCACACACCCACACATACCTCATTTCATCTCGCTCTCGTCACTTGTGGGCAAGTCGGAAAGATCCAGACACAAAGCTAGCTGCTTGAATGTGTTTGTGGGGCTCAGAAACACTGCTGAATCAAACTGGTCCACACATTTGGCACAGTTGATGTTTCAACCATGTGTCGGTGCAGTAAGTAACCGCTGATAACACTGCTCTACACACACACACACACACACACACACACACACACACACACACACACACAGCTCTCATCACGGATTGTGGACAGCTCTCAAAAAATACACACTTCCATACCTAGCGTTCTGAGTGAATCTATTCAAAAGAGATGAAGTTCCTGCACCATAGAACATATTTGTGCTACCTGCCCACCACCCGTGTTGAGGGCGGTGCAACACGGCTTCAGGAGCTGCTCAACTGGGTGGAGGGAAGCTTGTCAATCACCTCCTCCTTGCACGCGAGAGCATGCAACATACAG